GCGGGGGGGGGAGGTAAGGGGAGGAGGGCTTTGGAGTCCCATATTCCTGAGACAGGGAGGCTCCCCCCCCACCCCCGTAAACCTCCAGCCCTGGCCCCCTTTCTACCCGTCATTCCAGGATGTTTAGGGAGACCAGGAGGTGCGCCCCGCAGCCACATCCCCAAACACTCCTCAATTATTTAGGAAAGGAAGGGAAGGGAATCTGAGAAGTTAATTTCCTAAAACTCATTTAGACACTCTGCCCTGAAGTCTGACCGCCAGCTTAGCCCCGGGAAGGGGCCACTGAAGCACCTGCTCCTTCCAGGCCTTCTCTTCTTGCTAGGCAAGGCCCCGTGTGTGATGTGGGGGGACAGCGCAGGGCCCCAGAGGAGTCCAGCCAGCAGTCACAGTGCTCCTGTGCAGGGCTCACACAGATAACCTCACTGAATGCTCAGCCACCCCCGATGCACAGCTGGAAGACTGGTCCAGCAGCACACCCGACTGTGCTCAGCCTTCCAGCCACCGGTAGACGCTTGCTAAGCACCTGCACCTGTGTGCCGAGAACTGTGCTGGGCCTCAGGAACACCCAGGCGGGCCGGGCAGTGATGCCTGGTAGCACAACTGGGCTCACTTGGGAAGGTTCCGAGTTCTCATCCTGGAACCTCCTGTACACACAGGCAGGATGTGACTGCCCGTGATCTGGGCCTGCTGAGACTCAGGATGGGTCTCGGCGTGGGGACTCTGCTGGGGCTGCCTGTCTCTCTTAGGGAAGAAATAAGTAAATAAAAACCAAAGGTAAACAAGCCTGGCAGGGCTCCATCCTTCCCCTCCCCATGAGCACCGCCGGCCTCCTCGGCCACCCGGCCAGCACCTCCATGGTACCATCCACGCCTCTCCCCTGCACACCCACTTGACCTCCCCACGTGCCTCAAGTGCAGCTGCTCTGCCCACATGACTTTCCGCCCAGGCCCTGCTCTGCCCTCCCCGCTTGCTCCGGAGGGGTCTTTGGGAAACATGCGTCACTCCCCAGCTGAAAACCCATCGGTGCCTGAGAATGGATCCCAGCTCCAGAGCTGGGCGGAACAGGGTGGGGCCCGCCCATGGAGGAGGGCCAGCCCCACACACGGCCCTCGCACGAGAGCTGTATGGGCTCATGCTGCTTTCCGTAGCCCATCTCAACACACACAAACTGAGCCTGCGAAGAACTCAAATGCACAGGAAGTAAGGCGCAGAGGTGGCCTCGACCTCTGACCACTGGCTCTGACATTCGCGTCCTTACCAGTCACGTCGCGATGGCCTCTTCACCCTCTGCAGGCCTAGCCCTCCTCTGGTGCCCATTTGTTTCAGACCCACACTGGCCAGCAGACACGATGTGAAGGCCAGGTGAGTTGGGCAGCACGATGCGACACTCAGGGAGGGCGGCCCACGTGGGTGGGTTCTGGTTCACATCCAGAGACCTCTGGGTACAAGGGCTGGCTGAGGCTGCAGTGGGTCACTGGGGCCCTGCTGGAGGTACTGTCTCTCTCTCTCTCTCTGTAACTCGCTCATGGAAGGTATAAATAAATAGGGACCAGCAGATGGCATAACGGTTACATCGCTGGACTTGCACATAGTTGACCATGGTTCAAGTCCCAGACTGGGCAGCTTAAAACTCACACCGGGTGCATGCGCATGAGTGCCCAAAATCCTGAGAGGAGAATGGAGGAGAAGGGATTGCACCTTGGTCATTTCTCACTTTCTGCTCCCTCCGTCTCTCCGGTGAGCACATATACCCTATAGCAAAAGTCTCTCTACAAACAAGAAAAAAAAAGATATAAAGAAATACAGGGGCCAGAAGATGGCATGGTGGCTAAAGTGCTGGATTCCCACATGGCCAACCACAGTTTCAGTCCTGGACCTGGCAGTTTGCTTTCTCGCTTTCTCAATTCCTCTCTCTCTTTCTCAATTCCTCTCTCTTTCTCTCTTTATGTCTTTCTCCAGTGAGTGCCAATATCAAATTTTAAAATAATAATAATAAAATTTATTAAGAGGTTTGAGAGGTTTTTCTATAGGGCGTATGCACTCACCAGACAGACAGAGAGAGACAGAGAGACAGAAAGCGAGAAATCACCCCCCAGGGGGGATGGCCACGCTGCAATCCCTTCTCCTCCATTCTCCTCTCAGGATCTTGGGCATGCACACACACGCCCGGCGTGAGTTTTAAGCCACCGGTTTCGGGACTCGAACTGTGGCCGACTACATGGGAGTCTAGCAACATAGCCATTGCGCTAACTGCTGGTCCCAATAATAATAACAAAATTTATTTATTGTTTATTTTTAAAAAAACAAAAACCTAGCACAGGCCAAATGGAATGTGGTGCAACTTGGGACGTGGGACCCCCAGGGCGAGCTCTTTGGGCCCTCGGGGCTGCTCCCAGGGTCCCCTCTCTGTTCTGTGAGCACGGCCTCTCCTTCCCAGGCCTCGGAGTAGGCACTGTGCCCTGCACACGGAGCTTCCAGGCCCCCAGCCCAGCCTCCTCCACCCCAGCCCACCCCAGCTGAACCCTCCATGTTTGCTTTCTCGGCCGTCTCCCCACCTGTCGGAGTGTGCTGAGGGCAGGGTCTTGGCTCAGGGGTCATCCCAAGTGTGGGAGAAATAAGCAAAGGAAGGTTGGGACCCCCCAAGTGGGAGGAAGGGCAGTGACGGCCCACAGCCCAGTGTCGGGGTGTCTCACTGCTTAAGCCGGTGCTATACCCGCCAGCCCCCACTCAGGCACGGGGGAGGGGCCAAAATGCCACGGTGGGTGGTGGGTGTGAGTGAGAACGCAGAGTCGGGGATGTGTGGAGAATATGCAGCAGACCCTTCACCCCAGGAGAGTTCCCTTCTCCAGCACAGGGCCAGAACTAGGGTGAGGCCAGTGAGACCCTGGCTTATCCTGGGGCCACATTTAACAAGGCACCAAAAAACTCAGTTATCAAGACAGGGTGTTTTAATGCAATATATTGTTCATTTTATTGTGAGATGAACAGGCACCCTCCTCCCCTGCCCTCCAGCCAGCCAGGACTACATTTCAGGTCAGCCCAGGGCCACGACCTTCCATGTGGCTCCAACATTGCAGAGTGGCAACCAGCCACCTGCTTCCCATGGCTGGGCCGAAGACAATATATTTTTCTTTTTTTGGAGAGGTTTTTGCTATAGGGCACCTGCTCTCGCCAGAAAGTCAGAGAGAGATAGAAAGCGAGAAATCACCCCCCGGGTGGGGTGGGGATGGTCACGCCATAATCCCTTCTCCTCCATTCTCCTCTCGGGATCTTGGGCACTCATGGACACATGCCCGGAGTGAGTTTAAGCCACCGGGTCTAGGACTCGAACCAGAGTCGACCACATGGGAGTCCAATGACACAGCCATTACGCCAACTGCTGGTCCCCGAAGACAATATTTTAAAAAATAATAATTAGGCCCAGCCATGGTGGTGTACGCAGTAAGGGCACCGCTGTGGATGCTGGAGCCCAGGGAAGGCCTACTGTCCTCCTAGCTAACTGGGAGGCTGGGGCGAGAGGACTGTGCATGGCAGACTGTCCTAAAAGTACCCCTGTCTTTCTCTCTCTCTCCCCCTCACTCATTAAAAAAAAAAAAAATTGGGGGCCAGGAGGTGATATGGTGGTTAAGGGGACTGGACTCCCACATGGCCAACCACAGTTCGAGTCCCAGACCTGGTGGTTTGCTTTCTCACTCTCTCTTTCTCTCTCTTACTCTGTCCTTCTCCGGTCAAATTAAATAAAGTTAAATAATCTTTAAAATAATAAAAAAATAAAAAATAATGAAGAATGTCCAAAACCCATGATGAGAGCTGACCCTGTAGTGTAGCAATTAAGCACTGGGCAGGGAGAGTCAGCTCCCATGTGGCTGACTGCCGTTCGAGGCCTCAGCCTGGTAGCTTCTAAAACATGCCGGGTGCTTTTGCATTCATGCCCCAAACCCTGATAGGAGGGACACACGGAGGAAAAGGATTACGGTGTGATCACATGCCACTGAGGGGGGCGTGCTCTCTTTCTCTCTCTCTGGCAAGCTCACGTGTTCTGTGACAAAAATAAACAAATAAATAAAAATAAAAATTATAATGTAAAACCCCATGATCAACTAAATATCAAAATGTTCAATGCAGGTGGGCTCTGACCTGTTTCCGCACAACTCTACCTCACTCGCCTTCTCTAGCCCTGCCCCGGCCTAGAGTGAGGGGCGAGGATGTCCCGACTCAGCAGGGGCACCAGCCTGGGTGTGCGGGAGCCTACCTGGCCCACCAGTACAACCCTGTGAGCAGCCATGCCCAGGGGCTCTCTTCCTGTGTCCCTCTTTCTTAAGGGGAGGCTTTGAGATGGCGGAACTAGCCTGTATATCTCGATTGTTCTAGCGGTTATCTGACTGTGCGTTTCTAGACATAGGTCAAAATTCATAAACATGTATCAGGGAAAAGTCATGATGTATTTTTCTGTGCAAAAATGCATCATAATTCTTCTGACAACCCATTGAAAAGGGTGAACTGCAAAGTGAGTAAATTATACTTCGAGCTTGACTGAGAAAAAGAAATCTATAAATTGATCATTTAACAGAAAAAAACAAAGAAGGGCTGGCTCTCTGGCCCGGTGGTTAAGAGCTGGATCCCACATGGCCAACGGCATGGTCTGCATCTCTGCCCTTGCAGCTTGAGAATCACGACAGGTGCAGGTGCGTGTGCCCCAAAGTCCTGAGAGGACGGAGAGACAGAGGAGAAGGGACTGCAGCGGAAACATTCCCACAGCGGAGCTTTCCCTTCGCCCTGTGTCTCTGGCGCTCCCTCTGGCAAGCACACGTGTCCTCTAGCAATCAATCAATCGATCAATCAATCAACCAAAGGTAAAAATGACTGTCCTCTTTCTCATGCCCCCCTTGCCAGAGAAGAGGTCTGAGGAAGAGGAAATTCTCTCCTCCAGAGGCCCCTCCATCCAACTGCAGTCAGGCCCTGGGGCCCCTTGAGGCCAGGCCCCGGAGGAGGGAAGAGGCCAAAGCTGCCTGAGGCTGTTTGTACCTGTGCGACCAGAGACGCAGTGCCACACGTGACAGTACGCAGAAACCATATACCCTTGTCACAGACACAGCAACGAGGGTGGGACTGTGCACGTGTTACCTGCTCACCCCACTGACACCCAGCCGCAGCTACGCCCAATCTCTGCCCTCCTTCAGGGTGCAGACACGTGGCGGCATGCACATGCTATCCGTGGGTGTTTTCGCTGGTGACGCCTGATGTGCGCAGATGTGGGTGCTGCCGAGCGTACGTGCATGCCGTGTAGGTGGACCTGTGCTTGAGTGTATAAATAGCAGACCTCCCTGCCCCAACCCCACCTGTCTCTTTTCCCTCCAAAATGGCATGAGGGGGACCAGCAGATGGCGTAATGGTTACCTTGCTGGACTCCCATGTAGCTGACACTGGTACAAGCCCTGGACCCAGTGGTTTAAAACTTGCACTGGGCGCATGTGCGCCCAAAATCTCGAAAGGAGAACGGAGGAAAAGAGATTGTATCGTGGCCGTCCCCCCAATGGTGATTTCTTGTTTTCTGTCTCTCTATCTCTCCAGCGAGCATGAGCCCTATAGCAAAAATCTCTCTCTTTTTTTTTTAAGTGACTTCTATCACCTTTATTTTATTTAT